CACTCTGGAATGGGCTGGGGCACAGCTCTGGTCTCATCTAGTAAAGCACTAGTCTGGTGTTCTAGAGAGCCTGGGTTTGATCCTTAACCCTGAAAATACAAATAAACATCCCAAGAAGATGTCTTCAACAGAGTCTCAGTCTAATGGCCTCTCTTGAAGCCTTTACTGCCCACTTGATATATTTGATTTGGTTATAAAGAAAATGTCTGTCTTAGTCAGGGTTACTATTGCTGTGATGAAACACCATGACCAAAGGCAACATGGAGAGGACACGGCTTATTTCATTATATTTCCATATAACAGTTCACCATCAAATGTAGTGAGAGCGGGAACTCACACAGCGCAGGAGCCTGTGAGCAGGAGCTGATGCAGTGGCCATGCAGGATGCTTCTTACTGGCTTGCTCTCCATGGCTTTCTCAGCCTGCTTTCTTACAGAACCCAGGACCCCCAGGCCAGGTTTGGCCCCGCCCACAATGACTGGGACTTCCTACACCAATCACTAAGAAAATGTCCTCCAGGCTGGCCTACATCCCGATCTTATGGAGGCATTTTCTCAGTTGAGACTCTTTTCTCTCTGATGACTCCAGCTTGTATCAAGTTGACAAAAAACAAACAAACAAAAAAAAAAAAACGGAGCCAGCACAATGTCTTTAAAGAAGTATGCTTAAGGCAGGTTTGGTGACACATGCCTGCAACCCCCATACCGCGTAGGCTCCAGCAGAAGGATTATAAGGTCAAAGTCATTCTGATCTACTCATTCAGCCTCTGTGTCAAACACCAAAAGGATAAGTGACACCTAAGCTAAGATCGTCATAGTAAACGTAAGAGTCATCCAGTTAAGAGGATGTGGGGGCCCTGGGAATACAGTCAGTTAGCAGAACACTTTGCTAGCACTCATAAAATGTTGGGTTCACAGTCTCTAGCACCACAAAAAAAAACCTGTCATAATAGTGCATGCCTTCTATCCCAGCACTCAAGAAATAGAGACAGGAAGACCAGGAGCTAAAGAGGATTGGGAGTTCAAGGTCATCCGTGGCTGTCTACCATGAAGCCAGCTTGGAGCTCCATGACTCTGTCTCAAAAGACAAAAGGCAAAGAGGTCAGATAAAAGAAATTACATGAACGGAGAGCCTGTTTCCTTTATTGATCTTTTTTAGTAACTATATATTTTACCGTATTTCATATAATATTTTCGCATAATGTCATTATACCTCATTCCTCTCCCCACTGCCCTCCTCTGTGCTGCCCCCATCCTGGTTTGGGTGGGGTTTTTTCCTGTCTCTAAGAGATGCCCCCTTCTATTTTCACGTCAAATGCATTCCATTAACCTCCGAATTCCCCTCACCTTAACATCTCTTCCTCCCCTCTCATGGTTCCCTTTTTGTTTTCATGATGCAGACACAAGCACACACATATAAACACTCACGTAATTTTAAATTTGTGTTCTGGGTATGAGGAATTTGTGTTTCTGAGTCTGAGTTCTTTTACTTAACATACTGACTCAGGAGCATACGTCTCTCTGCTTGCTCCATTATTTCATCTTCTGCGGTTAAGTGAAATTCCATTCTGCATAAGCCCCACCTTTATCCATTCATCTGCTCACAGGCATACAAGAAGGTGTCACTTCCTAGGGGCAGTGCAGCAGTAGACACGTCCAAGCACCTCTTACGGATGTTGGTTTCAAGTCTCCAGGCCCAAAATATATAACTGGGTCAGACGGAAGCTCTGTTTGCAGTTTTAGGACAAACCTTCAAGTAATTTCCATAGTTGATGCACCAGTTTGCATTCCCACCGGAAGGCAATAAGGGTCTCTCTCTCCCCAGCACTTATTTTCATGACGATAACCATTCTAACCAGAATGAGGTGAAATCCTAGAGTACTTCTAACTTGTATTTCCTGATGGCTAATGATGTGAAGTTCATCTTCAAACATTCATTGGCTATTTGCAGTTCTTCTTTCATTAACTATCTCTTTGATTCACCAGTCCATTTAGAGATGGGATAATTAGGGGGTGTTTAATTTTTGCAGAACTTTGTATGTTCTGGATAATAATGACCTACTTCATGTATACTTGGCAAAGACTCCCCACCGCTGTAGGCTCTGTTTAAGCCTTTGCTCTGCAGAAGACTCTCAACCTTGCATAGCGCCATTTGACGGTTCTTGGGATTGCCTTCTGTGCTGCTGGCATCCTCTTCTCAAAATTCTTGCCTACACCTGTATTTTTTGAAGTTTTACCTGCTCGCCCCAGCAGTTGTAAATTTTCATTAAGGTTTTCATCCATTTAGATTTGGGTTTTGTATGGGGAGAATCCAATTCTACATGAGCCAGGTTTTCTAATACCATTTGCTAAGGAGACTAATCCTCTCTCCACTGAGCGTATTCTTGACAGTTCTCTCAAAATTCAGATAGTCTACATGTAAGGTTTATTTCTCGTCCAGATGTCTGTCTTTGGTGCTAGTACCACATTGACTTTGTCCCTATAGCTCTGTTGTATACTTTGACAAGTATTATGAAACCTACAGCTCTGATTAGGATAGCTTTGACTGCTCAGTGGTGTGTGTGTGTTTGTATGTGTGTGTGTGTGTGTTTTCATGAATTTTTTCTGCCATAAACAATGTCATTGCAAATTTAATTTAGATTGCAATAATTCTATACATTACTTTTGGAAATATAGCTATTTTTGCAATATTATTCTACCAACCCATGAGCATGGGAGGTGTTTTAATCCATAAGTATTCTTCAGCCACTTTTGCAGTTTTCGCTGTGAAAGTGTTTTACCTTGTTTATTTCTAGACATTTTAAAAGACTTGTTTTATTTTTATTTATGTGCATGTGTATGAGAGAGGGGATAGGGATGGAGAGAGACAATACAATGTGTGTGTATACTCAATAGGGGTACTGGGAACCTAATTCAGGTCCTCTGAAAGAGCAAGTTATCTTAACCACTGAGCCATCTCTCCCATCTTAGGGATTTTATAAACTGCTTTGAACTGCAATGTTTTTCAAGATTTCCTTCTCAGTGAGCTCGTTACTAGGATATAGAAAAGCTACTTACTGGTTCTTGGTAGATGGCTCAGTCAGTAAAGTGCTTGTTTCACTAGTATGGGGACCTGAGTCCAATCTCCAGCACTCACAAATGGGGTGGGGCAGGGGTAGATGTGGCTGCACAGGCTTGTAATCCCAGCACTGAGGAGATGGAGGCAGGAGAACTCCTAGGGCTCACTGGCCAGTCATGCTGGCCAAGCAGTGAACTCCAAGCTCAGTAAGAGATCTGTCTCAAAAAAATAAGTTGGAAAGGGACTGAGGAAAACACCTGACCTTCACTTTGGCCTCACCTTGTACATTTGCAAACACAGAGAGAGAGGGGGTGGGGAGAGAGAGAGAGAGAGAGAGAGAGAGAGAGAGAGAGAGAGAGAGAGAGAGAGAGAGAGAGAGAGTTGAGAGAGAGAGAGAGAGAGAGAGAGAGAGAGAGAGAGAGAGAGAATAAAGTCAACTTTTTTAAAGGAGGAAATGTAGAGCTGCTGCTTCCTATGAAGACTGTGGTGCTAGAGCTGGTCCGGTGGTTCATGTCACTGGCAGTCCTTGCAGAGGACCCAGGTTCAGTTCCCAGCACCTACATGGTGGCTCACAACCACCTGTCACTCCGGTTTCAAGGACTCTGACGCCCTCTTCCGTGGACATCAGACACCCATGGGGTACACAAACATCCATGCAGGTCAACACTCAATCATTCAGGAAAGGTAAAACTTTAAATGAGAGTGTAGATGGCCATGCACATGCATGGAATAGAGCAAAGGGTTTGATGAAGTGTGGAGTCTCGTTCGCCTCTGTTTTATGACGTCACTGACTGCGCTGGACAAGTGGTGTCTTCTACAGAGTGTTGTGTGTCCCACAAGAACTGCCTTCATTCAGTAACTTTTCTTCTTTGCTGATTGGTGGCCTCTGCTGGCCGCACTTAGCTTTCCATGGTCTGAGCAGGCTCTCTGAACCTTCAGATCCTACCTCCTGGGTCAACTAGTATTCTACCTGGGGCTGGGGAGTGACAGTGTCTGCCCCATGTGTTGGGGCTGTGAGAAGTACCCTAACCCTGCAAACTATACAGAGGATGTGTGTGAATCAGCCTGAGGGAGGGAGGCACCTATGGATCAGTATGTAAGCATGGGGACCACACAGGCCAAAAGAGGGTGTCAGATCCCCTGGACTAGAGTTACTGGCAGCTGTGACCCCCAGGCAAATCTGGCCCTCAGCAAGAATAGCAAATGCTCTTAAACACTGAACCATCAGCCCTTAGGTTAGTACTTATTAATGCATCATCCTTTGTTTTTTGTGCGTACTTTTTACATATCCTAATACTATGGTTCTCCAAAGAAACAGAACCAATAAGATGTGTTCTTGGACACATGTGAGATTTATCATAAGAAATTGCTTCACTCTAGTATGGGTAGGATTTAGGAGGCCCGGAGGTCTTTGTGCTCACCAATAAGCACGTGGCATGGTGCTGCGGGGGTGGGGGAGCATGGGCCAGGAATGCTAAGAACATGAGGAATAAAATACCAGAAGGCTGGGAGCACACGCACTTTCTAGCCTCATGACCTTTGCACTATCTATGTGGCTGGAGACAACCCTTAACCCTCCCCAAAACCTTAAGCTTGCTTTTCTCAGTCAACCTATAGAACCTATCTTTAAGGACGGCATCACAGGTACCTTACAGAGAGTTTCAATACAGTCCCATCCAGTATTTATTTAGCTTACTCTGGGCTTCATTGTGCACACCAGGTTGAGTTAACTATCACCAGGAAAGTGTTGAACCAAACTGACACCTTCAGGGGCCGGCAGAGAGATGATCTGCAGAAGGCAAGGTTTTGTTCAGCGTGGCTCAGTAGTAGCTGGCATTTGTTCAAACTTTGAGAGTTCGACACTGAGTGGTTTGTTTTACACATGTTTAAGCACACCATGATTTAGTGATAGTCATGGATATAACCCTCTAGAACCCAGAGCCTTAGACAAAATATTTTATTTTATAAACTGCCTCGGTAATGGTGGTTTAGCAAATCAATAGAAAAGTAACTAACACAGGTCACCAACACTTATTGAACATTGGTCAGCTGTAAGCTTTTAGCTTTTTTTACTTACAAATGCCTTCCTTTTGCCTTTGCTTTGGAGAGTTACTTCTGCCAATTGTAGAACTTTAGATTAACAGGATTTTCTTCCTTTTTATACCTCAAAGATTTTGCTCATTTACATTATTTCCAATAAGAAAGGTAATTTCATCTTTGTCTTTTTTTAACTGTTAAAAAAAACTAAATGTAAAAGTTAAAAGCATAAAACTCTTTGATGGAAACACAGGTGTAAAGTCATAGCTTTGGGTCAAACAATGGCCTCTTAAATGTAGCACCAAAATCACAAACGAAAGAAAAAATGAGTAACTAGACTTTATTGTAGGAAGAGATCTTACCTACCCATAGCGCTGACCACGACTGGGCGTGCAGACCTTTGGCTCTCAGCTTTCATGGCTTCTCACATAAGTTATTTCTCCCTCAATAAAATATCACAGGACATGCCTATTTTGTGTAGCCTAAATTAATTAATATTTCCATGAAACTTGATCAAAATGGAAAGCTTTTGTACATCAAAGAATACTGCCAGCTCCCTGCTGGCTAGCTCTCCTAATCGTGTATGAATCCTGTGAGTTACAACAACCAGCCTCACAAGCCAACACCCGTGTGCAACAGTGGTCTAAATGCTGTGGGAGTAACAACCTGCTTTCTGAACGGATTGAGGATCCACTCCGAGGGTGGAAACTCATGCCTGGTACTATACATCAAGACAAGAAACCATTCTGCAGAGCTCATAGGCCTTGAAGAAAAGCCTATTTCTATTAGTTTGCTAAATTGGGATAGTATCAAACTACCTTCTAAATAATTCTCTATATCCATAAATTGAGTCATCTCTTGATCCCCGCCACAGACGTTTCTTTTTGCAGTGGACAGTGTATGATATACAGACTCACAATTCGTCTAAATGCAGGGGACAAGTGCCTATGAAGTACTCACCCCAAATAAGACACACCCTTGCCCCCAAAGCTCAGGTAATGCCAGCACTCTGAGAAGTAAGGTTTAAAGAGCCAGCGCTCTGGGAAGTCTGCTATGAAACTGTCTTCTTCACACAGCAGGGTGTGGCCCTTATGAGCTCACAGACGCAGCGGTTGTCTGCACTGGCTCACAGCACTCATCATTCCAGCACGGATGGACAATGGGCTGTCCACGGCTGAGGAGCTGTTAGCAATTGACAGATGCTGGTAGAGGAAGAGTCCACGTTCTTCAGGGATGTGGTGTCCAGCAGGCTGACCACGTTCTGGTAGATGGCTTCACACCTACACATATTTGAGTAGCACTAATCTTGTACTTGGTGGGTTACAAAGAAAGAAGAGGACATGGGGATCCAGGAGGAGTTAGACAGAGATATGAGGGTAGACATGATCAAAAAATATTGTATACATGTGTGAAAGTAGCAAGGAGTAAATAATTTTAAAAGAATACTACTCAGAAAAAAATGAAAGACAACCCATGGGATGGAAGAGAACATTTCGAAATGACTCATCATAACGTAATCACGCTACACAGAGTTCTTACAATGCAAAACAATAACAGCAAAAAAAAAACCTAATTCTAAGGACTTGGTGCTTTCTACAAAGATACACAAGTAGCCAATAAGCATGTTATATGCCTGTTATATGATTCCATCTCTATAAAATCCCAGACTAGGGAGTTTTTGTTTTGTTTTCTGAGGTTTTATTATTTTATTTATTATCATGTGTGTGTGACTGTGTGTGTGTATATGTGGCGGTCAGAGGATATCTGGTGGGGATTGGTTTTCTCCCTTCTCTATGTGGGTTCTGGAGATCACTCTCAGATCCATCATGAGGCTTGACGGCAAACGCCTTTACCCGCTGTGCTGTCTCACCGGACATAAGGAGGAAGGTCCCATCACAGGCAGCGTTCTCTGCAGGCAAGGCAGGTAACTTCGTAGCTCTGGAAAGCAGACACCAAGCAGAAGCTGAGGACTTTACCAAACGAAAGGGCATGCACTATGTACACACCATGGTGTACTAGAAGGAGCAGCTGGTGGGGGAGCGGTATTGGGAGACGTTTGTGAGGTAGAGATCAAAACACACCTGAGTCAGCCAGGTGTGCTGGCTTGTGCTCTTGGTTCCAGCATTTTCGAGGCAAGGGCAGCTGAATCTCTGAGTTCAAAGTCAGCCTGATCTACATAGCATGTTCCAGGCCAGCCAGGGTTACCTATATGAACTCCTTGCCCACCCTGAGGGATTGTGAGCCAAGATAAACTCTTCCTCCCTTTAAAAAAGAAAGAGTACATCTGGGGGCTGGAGAGATGACTCGGTGATTAAGAATGAGTATTATTCTTGCAAAGAACCCAAGTTTGCTTCCCAACACCCACACTGGGAACCTCACAAATGGCCTGTAACTCCAGCTCCAAGGGATCTATCGCCCTCTTCTGGCCTCCACAGGCACCTGCACTCATATTTACAAAGGACCACACACACACACACACACACACACACACACACACACACACACACACACACACACACACACAGTTAAAAAAAATTTTTTAGAATGCATCTGTTTTGAAACTGGCTGTCTACTTTGTAACATAGGGAGCAGGGAGCTGTACACCCCAGGGGATGGGGGGCCTACTCTGGGTGGAGGTCGCCAACACAGACACATCAGAGGCAGAGACAGATGACTCTCAATGGGGTCCTCACCTACTTCTCAAAGCGGCTCTTTAGTCTCCACCACCGACAAGTCGTCTGCTGGGTCCTTGCGCCTTACGGAGCTCTTCGCGGTTGGCAAGTTCTTTAAAAAGGGAAGCTTGAGCTCGTACGCCCTCCAAAACCTCCCTAAACCCAAAAGCACAAGCTCCAAGGAAGTAAACAAGAGACAGGCCACGCTGATCCCAAACATGGCATTTAGGAGGACGGTCTTCTCAGAGGGGTGCGACTGGAAACAGGTTATGCTGCCGATGCAAGGATCCTCACGACACAGAAAAGTGCCAGGCATCTTGAAGCCATACAGGTGGTACTGAGCTCCCAGGGCTGCCCCCTCAAGAGCCAGCCGCGCTCCAAGATGTGCCACATAGGCCCAGAGAAGCCTGAAGCTGGCAGCCCCAGAGACATCCTCGCCGTGGCCCATCCGGGACTCCTGTCCCTTGTTCTCCTTTCCTGGTTCCTCTCGGTATCCAATCACATGGTACAGGGTGAACCCCACATAAACGGCACTGGGTACAGCCATCAGGATGACTTGGAAGGCCCAGAAGCGCAGTGGAGAAAGGGGGCGGAAAACATCGTAGCAGACGGTCTTGCAGCCTGGCTCTCCTAAATGGCACGTGAATTCCTTCTCATCGTCGCCGAAGACCCCAGGCCCACTGGAAATCAGAAGCAGGAGGCGGAATCCCATGAGCACCGGAAGCAGGAAGCGCCCCACAGGGGTGGAGTGCTGGCTCTCCTTAGCCAGCAGCTGCCTCAGGAACTGGCAACACATTCTGTCCCTGAGCGGAGGACAGTTGTCAGTGAAGGTGTCCCGCTCACTGGCCTTTACAGGGGCTCCGGCCTGCCTTGGTCACCTGCTAACCCAAGAACCTGTAAGGCAAGCCTTTTTACTTCTCTCCAAAATTGACCAAACACCATATAGCCTGCTTTTGCATGCCTACAAGGCCACACCTGAGGTAATCACCTTTGTAAACATAACTAGCTCACAGTTGTGAAGGTTTCAACTCCAAATAGCATCGCGCATAGTGAAGGTCATTGAGAGAATGTGTCAGGTCTTGGATAGCAATGGGGAGGAGAGCATGTTGAGCAAAAAGACTCAACCCAGGGAGAGGGGAAGATGGATAGAATCCCATGATCCCTTTCAAGAGCTGGTTTTCATGGACTGGGGGGATGGAGCTGGCTCAGTCAGTAAGGTACCACACAAGCATGGGAACCTAAGCTCAGTCCTCAGAACCCACGTAAAAGTGCTGAGTGTGGTGGTGGGCACTTGATACCCCACTGCTGGGGACACAGGAACAGAAGGATCCCAGCCAACTGCAGAGCCTCCAACCAGCAAGAGATCCTGTCTCAAAAAACAAGGTGGATGGTTCCCAGAAAATGGCTCATGTCATTGATCTCCAGTACACACACACACACACACACACACACACACACACACACACACACGCAAGCGCACACACAAGAAACACGTCTCCAATGATCTGAAGAACTCCCGTTAGGCTCCTCCTCTTATATCTATTTTTATGCATGTGTGGGTGTGTCTGTGTGTGTGTGTGTGTGTGTGTGTGTTTATGCCAGGTGTGTGTCCATGAAGACCAGAAGAGGGCATCAGAGAGGGAGAGGGACAGAGAGAGAAGGAGAGAGGTGGAGGGAGGGAGGGAGGGAGGGAGGGAGGGAGGGAGGGAGGGAGGGAGGGAGGGAGAGAGGGGGAGCTGGTGCCTGCCACAGCATGAACGCAGAGGTAGACAACCCCTGGTGTCAGTCCTCAGCATCTGTCTTGTGTCTCTATTTTGTCGCTGTGAAGGCCAGGCTACCTAGCCCATAAGATTCCAGGGATTCTCCAGTCTCCGCCTGCCCACTCACCACATACAAACATACACTGCGTGTTTCCTCTCATAGGCAGATCCCATGTTTTAATTTGTGTGTGTGTGTACATATGCGTGGATATAGGTCATGAACCTAGAAAGGGGGCTATGTCTAGAAACTGGAAACAGACCTGGAGGGGAAAAGGTCTTAAGAGAGTGAGGAAGGAGGCGAATAGGTCTGACACATGGAAGCAGAATGGGGACCCATGAGAGGAAAAGGAGGGAACGAGGGGAGAAACAGCAATAACTCAAAGCATGAAAACGCCGTAATGAAAACATTGTCTTGTATGCTAATTTTCAAAGCACAAACAGGGCTGAGGATGTAGCTGACTGGATAGATTGCTTGCCTCGCACACACAAGCCCCTGGTTTTACCCACAGCACACCTCTAATTCTAGCCCAGCACTGGGGAGATGGAGGCAGGAAGATCAGAAGTTCAAGACCACCCTCAGTTATAGAGTGAGTTTAGGGCTAGTCTGGGCTACCTAAGACTGCACCTTAATAAATAAACAAATAAATAAAATGTAAATGAAGCAACAATCATAAACTCAAAATGGGAAAGGAAAGAGAATCCCAGAATTCGAGCAGATTCTCAACTACCTAAAGAGATTATTTTTAAAATCCACTTTTAAATGAGAATTTTTCAAAGCATCTCACCTAGTTTGGGGGTGGGGAGTGTCAGGATTCCACCAGTGACTGAACCAATTCAAGAAAGTTAAGAAGCAAGGGAGGAAAATAACCCGTGAGGAGGGAGGGACCTGGCAGTGCAAGCCTTAACTGATTGTTCTACCTGACCTGGAATGCAATCTAGATGCTTCTCTTCAAAGTGTGGTCCTCAGAACTAGCATGAGCAGAGATGCAGAATCTTGGGCAATATCCCTGACCCCCAGAGCTTATGTGAATTCAAATCTATCGCTAAGAAATCATGAATGCATCCACTCCCAGACACCTCTCTAGAGTAATCTCAAACACAGAAGCTACCCAGCCCATGAACTTACCAGAGCCCGCCTGGCAGCTCCAAGCAGAAGCGTCAACCACAGAGGAAAGGAGCCAAAAGGAACCCTCACACTGGAGCCTTCAGGGTCCAGGCTCCGGGGTGGCCCTGCCTCCTGCAGCCACCCACGCTCTTGCCTTCTCCTTTTCATTCCTGGCAGGCTCCCCGTGGCGCGCTAGAATTCCAGCTGAAGGACCGGGTGAGCTGTGGAGAATGGCTCTGTATTGATGGCACGGGAGGTATTCTCTAAGCGAATGGGGTGGGGATATTTGAGATCATCTGAAATGAGAGTGAGGCTTCATTATGTGCGTTAAATTGGCTAATTGTCTTGGGATGTCTGAGCTCACTGAGGAGCTGGCTCTGGAAGTGGAGCTGTCCTCTCCCCTTTCAGACCCAAGTGTGCTTGTCTCCGTGTCCTCCAAGGCCCTTTGTCTAGGGATGGGCTGCCTCCCAGTCTCTGTGACAGGGAGGGAAGGGAGCAACAAACGGCCAAAGGATAAAAGCATTGCGTCCTTGAAAACAGAAGGAAAACGAGCTGATGGGAAACGCGGCAGAAGGTGCCACTGTGTATCCCATAATACAGAGCGACTTAGAACGGGAGGAGACCTGGAACTTCAGGCGTGGGGCGCAAAGCCAGCGGAGACAAAGCTAATGGGGGACTCCAGCTGATGGCCTTGACTCCCCAGGCAGTGCTGATGGAGCTTGTGAGCACCCAATCTGATGATGTTACATCTGTCTACTATTTGTTCTTTTTTCTTTTCTTTTCTTTTCTTTTTTTTTTTTTTTGCCTTTTTGAGATTGTATTTTAATTGCAACATTTCTCTCTTCTCCCTCCAAACCCTTCCATATACCCCTCCCTGTCTCCTTCAAATTCATGGCCTTTTTGTTCAGCAACAGTTACTGCATGCATATGTGCCTCTGTGTATACAAATATAGTGCTAAATATAACCTGTTGAGTTACTAGTGTATATGATTTTTAGGGCTGCCCATTTGGCACTGAACAGCCAATGGGAGTGCTCTTCCCTGGGAGTGACCGCCTCTCCCAGCTTTACCCAGCTGCCTCTAATTCTTTGTGTAGGATTATTCTTTTACTTAGATGCTTCACCAGAGGGGACACCCTGCTCTGCTCAGGAATCTCTCTGTGGGAAGCCCCAGCCGTCTGACTCTTCTCAGCCATTTCCTGGTGTGTGTTTGTAAGCCCCAATTTGATGTTCATCTCTATCGATCTATCACTTTCTATTTATTCTTTGACTTTGGCTTTCCGTGTGCTTAACAAATTCACTCATTCAAAACTGAAAGTATGTCCAAAGTACCAGAAAATAAGCTTACTTACATGAGTGTACTTATTGTATGTTGGAAAGATTACACACCAGGTAACACAAGTTCTATCAAAAGTCTATGCCTGGGGAGGTCATAGGCCCTAGTAGGAAACCTACTAGTGATGTTTGGTAACTATACATGCTGTCAGTCTGCTTAATAATTGTTTATGTTGGACTTCCGGTTGCCCATTCTGGGATCTCCTGGCCTGGAGACTGCAGGCAGGTCAACTCACACCCAGCAGACCAAGCAACCACAAGTCTGCTGATGTTGCTGTACTACTTGCACCCCCACTCAGGGGAGAGGTGAGCTTGGGCCCCTGTGTCAGCCCGACTTCCATTTGCCCACTCTGGGATCTCCTGGCCTTGGGACTGCAGGCAGGTTGACTTGCCCCCAGCAGACCAAACAAACTCAAGTCTGCTGAGAGCACTATGCTACTCCCACTCTCACCCACCAGGAGAGGGAGTGTCTCAGACCAACCTGCACCCACCATGAGACTCATCAGAGTACTGAACCTGCTTGGACCCGCACCCAGCAGGAGAGGAGGAGAACCCACCTGCACCCACTGGAAGAATGGAGGGGAAGATGACAACATAAGAACATATTCAACAACAGAAAAACCAATATGACACCACCAGAGTCTGGGGACTCTGCACCAGCAAGACTTGAACATACCAACACAGATGAGGCAGAAGAAAATGACCTTAAAAACAACTTCATGGAGATGATAGAGACCCTAAAAGAGGAAATGAGAAATCCCTTTAAAGAAATGGAAGAAAAGACAAACCAAAAATTGCAAGAAACAATTCAACACTGCAAGGTTTGAAAGCTGAAATAGAGACAATAAAAAAACACAGTCTGAGGGAATGCTGGAATTGAAAAAATTAATAAATGATCAGGAACTACAGATGCAAGCATAAGCATAACCAACAGAATACAAGAGATGGAAAAGAGAATCTCAGGCATTGAAAACACAAGGAGAAATAGATTCTTAAGTCCAACAAACCCCTAACACAAAATATCCAGGAAATATGGGACACCATGAAAAGGCCAAACCTAAGAATAATAGGTATAGAAGAAGGTGACGAAATCCAACTCAAAGGTGCAGAAAACATATTCAACAAAATCATAGAAGAAAACTTTCCCAACCTAAAGAAAAACATGCCAATGAAAGTACAAGAAGCTTACAGAACACCAAATAGAGTGAACCTCAAAAATGTCCACTCATCACATAATAATCAGAACACCAAACATACAGAATAAAGAAGAGCAGCTAAGGAAAAAGACCAAAGTCTACAAAGAACTCAAGAAGCAAGTCTCCAAAGCACCAAAGGATCCAATTAAAAAGTGGTCTACAGAACTAAATAGAGAATTCTAAATAGAGGAGTCTAAAATGGGCTGAGAGACACTTGAGAGAGTGTTTAACATCCCTAGCAATCAGGGAAATGCAAATCAAAACAACTCTGAGATACCATCTTACTCCTGTGAGAAGGGCTAAAATCAAAAGCACCAATGGCAGTTTATGCTAGAGAGGATGTGGAGAAAGGGGAACACTCCTCCATTACTGGTGGGAGTGCCAGTTCGTGCAGCCACTTTGGAAATCAGTATGGAGATTGCTCAGGAAAATGGGAGTCAGTCTACCACAAGACCCAGCAACTCCACTCTTAGGCATATATCCAAAGGATGCCCATTCATACAACAAGGACGTATGTTCCACTATGTTCATAGCAGCATTATTTGTAATAGCCAGAACTTGGAAGCAACCTTGATGCCCCTCAACTGAGGAGTGGATACAGAAAATGTGGTACATTTACACAATGGAATACTACTCAGCGGAAAAAAAAAACAATGGAATCTTGAAATTTGCAGGCAAATGGATGGCACTAGAAGAAACCATACTGAGTGAGGTAACCCAGTCACAAAAAGAGAAACATGGTATGTACTCACTCATTTGTGGATTTTAGACATGTATCAGGGGAGTGCCAGCATACAATCCCACTGCCAGAGAGTCTGGGAAACAGGAAGGACCCTAAGAGAGATATGCATGGTACCCCAGAGAAAGTGGAATGAGGCAAGATCTCCTGAGCAGATTGGGAGCATGGGGGAGGGGAGAGAGAACCAGGAAAAAGAGAGAGGGAGAAGAAGAGGGGAGAGGAGGAGATGGGGGAGCAGGAAGGTTGAGTTGGGGGAAGAATAGAGGAGATCAGGATGAGAGATACTGTAATAGAGGGAGTCAGTATAGGTTTGAGGAGAGATCTGGCACTAGTGAGATTTCCAGAGATCTACAAGAATGACACCAACTGGCAATCTAAGCAATAGTGGAGAGGCTACCTTAAATGCCCCTCCCTGATAATGATTTTGATGACTATCTTGTATACCATCCTAGAGCCTCCATCCAGTGACAGACAGAAGCAGAGGCAGACACCCACAGCCAAACACTGAACTGAACTCCTGGAACCCAGTGACAGAGAGGGAGGAGTGATGAGCAAAGGGGTCAAGACTGGGCTGGTGAAATCCAGAGAAGCAGCTGACCTGAACAAGAGGGAGATGTTGGATAGCTGAGGGGCCAGTAGAGGACTCATCCAGATCCCCTGAATGTGGGTGTCAGTGAGGAGGCCTAGGCAATCTATGGGGCTTGGGTAGTAGATCAATATTTATCCCTGGCACACAAATGGACTTTGGGTGCCCATCCCACAATGAGGGATGCTCTCTGAATCTGGACACTTGGCCCTCCCCGGAATGAAATGACAGACTCTAGAGATCCCCATGGAGAGCCCTTTTCAGACCTCCCCAGACATTAGGCATGCTTGTAGTGCACACACACATGCAGGCAAAACATGAACACACATAAAATAGATAAATCTAAAAAAAATACTGCGTGTGTGTGTGTGTGTGTGTCCATGAGCATCTGTGTGCACGCATGTGTATGTGTATGTGAAAGAGAGACAGACAGAGAGCGAGATTTCCCTCATGTCCTCAGGTAACCCTCACTCTAGAACTCATGGTGACTTCTCAGTGTCTTCTTCCTGGAAGAAACAGACTGACTCTTACAGAACCATGGGGATCGACTCCATGTCCTTTCAGCAGCTCAGAATCTCCAGTGAGAGCTTGGACACCTGCACCACACCCTTTGGATCCTGTATCACTGCAGTCAGGATCCCCTCCAGAGACACAGCTAAGAAAGGGGAAGGGCAAAATTGAGCATGCAGCAAGGCTTAATCCTGAACTCCTTTTGTAGAAAAGAGAATAAGCATATCTGGGTTTATGCCATTAAAATGGCTGGTTGTATATTAGTAGCCTAATAACCAATCTACTCATAAAAGCTGCAAATATTAGGGAGGTATCTGTGTGTGTGTTCATGGGTGCATAGATACCTGTGTATGCACATGTATGTATTTGCATGTAGTGGTCAGGGGTTAATCTCAGCTGTCATTCCTCAGGAGTTATCCACCTTGTTGTTTGAAACAGACTCTCTTACTGGCCTGTAACTCACCATGTATGCTAGCCTGACTGGATCTGCCCAGCTCTGTCTCCCCAATACTGGTATTACGAACATGCCCCACCATTCCCAAATATTTTTAAATTTATTTATTTTAACTGAGTGGCACATGCCTTTAATCCCAGCACTCAGGAGGCAGAAGCAGGTGGATCTCTGAGTTCCAAGCCAGCCTGATTACAGAGCTAGTTCCAAGACAGCCAGAGCTACACAGAGAAATCCTGCCTTGAAAAAAAAACATAAAAATAAAAAAATATTTTTTAATTTTTGAATATTTAATTTATTTTTAATTGAAAACAATTTTCCTACAATATATCCTGATCATTTCCCCTCCCCTAACTTCTCCAAGATCCTCCCCACCTTCCCACCCACCAAACTCCACGTCCTTTCTATCTCTTTAAAAACAAACAAAAACAAAAAAATCAGAAAATAATAATAAGCAGGTAAACCAAAATATACAAGCAAAAGACCAAGAGGACAAAAAAATGCCCAAACAAAGCAATATGAGACAAAGTCTACAAAAATACCACTGAGTCCATTTTATGTTCCGCATGTGGCACCTGCCCTAAGCAGTGGCTAATGTGCTCTGTGAGACTTATTGAAGAAAACTTAGTTTCTCCTCTGCTGGGGAGTGTGAGCTGCAGACAGCTTCTTAGTTAGGGTGGGAACCCTTGTTCACGTCCCCCTCTCAGGGCTGGGGCCCCATCTGGCTTCAACCTGTGCAGGCTCTGTCGTTCTGTTTTGGTTTGGTTTGGGGTTTTCTTGTT